GATTAGATTCTTTAAGAATGGATTCAGAGAAAGATGGTGATCCAATGTAATGTTTTAGGCATGTATTTATATTTGGTAACAATGTTAATATCAAGCTTCCATGTATTTTCTCCTTAAAGAATTATGTTCTTTTTTAATTAGGATGGTATTAATGAAATAAAATTTATGTCCAGCATTGTTTCAATGCAAACAAAAGTTAGATTATTTGTCCAAATGCAAGTCTCTCTTGTATTCGTTGATGTGAGCTTTTAGATCCCATGAAATATGTTGGCTTGAGAATGGCACACTTCTTTTAAGAAAGCAAATATTTGAAAAAGACAAGGATGTAAATTAATATTTTGGCAAGAATCATTTCTTGCACTTTCAAAAACTTTTCATCTAAATTATTTTCTCTCAAAATAATATATTGTGAGGAACAGTTATTATTATTTGATATCTACCAGCTTCTGAATTATTGTTATTATCAATATTTTTGTCTTAGATCCTATACATAATAGTTAATAATAACTAATAATAATAGTTAATAATAATAGGTTCATTATTAAAATTGAATATATTAATCTGAATAGTAGATGTTTTAACTAATTCATTATTATTGTGTGCGGTATAATCGTAACAGACGGTACCTAATTACCAAGTTCTTTTTGGGGTATATGAGTAAAAATATCACTGTAGGAGTATGCACATTTGGGCTGTTTCATTTAGATACAGAGGGTTTGGTGGGTAAGTGTACACACAAAGATATCTTTTGTAGTTCTAAGATACTGATGTGTCCAAGAATTTTTTCTCACATGATTTTCAGTACCCTTCTTTATTATGCTTAATACCTCGATCACAACAAATCATAGTTTTAAATTTCCTCATTTTTTTCATTATAGGTTTTTAAAATCTTTTTCTTTTTTTTTCAAAATAATGGAATTGTGTGGGCAAGTTATATCAATTGACAGGTTCCTATTTTGCCATCTTTTATGATTACGTCTGATTTATTTGCATCAATCTTCCTATCTGTAAAGATTGGGAAATTCCACAGGATTCTCAGTTCATCACCATTTATGGCATCATTCGAGTGGTGTTTGTACCATGTATCCAGAACTCCAATACCATATTTTAAACAGACATACCAATGTATATATTGTCCTAGCCTGTCATGTCTAATAATCTATACTTTCTAAGTAAGGATTGGACACTCTGACACTATGTGGTCAACAGTTTCATCAAATCTATCCCATAAGTGACAAAATGGATTTGTTTTGGTTTTTGTTGATTTTAGCCTTCGACGCATTAGTTGGAAGACATTAGTCTTTTGCTTCCATCATAAGGCCTTTTGTCATACTTTAAGACCCCTGTTTCTTGGTGAACAGCAATATCTTGTTCATTTAAATCCTTTGGGTAGAAAATTCAGAATATTTCTCATTTTATTATTATTATTATTATTTTTATTTTTTTTGATTTCTATGTTTAGAATATTTCTTTCCGGTCCCGCCCAAGGACCTAAGGTTAGAAATGGCAGCATGACATTTTCCACTGACAAAAAAAAAAAAAAAAAAAAATTAAATTACAAAGATAAAGCCCTTCGTAAGGTGTGGGCTGTACTTGTCAGAACAATTTTTTGTATCTCCTTGAGGCATGGACTTCCAGGAATCCCTTCAATTAGTCTACTGCAATCTTTTCCAACCAGTCCTAGGGCTCCAACTACAACAGGGATTGTTGATGTTCCCATATGCCACATTTTCGAGATTTATTATTATTATTATTATTATTATTATTATTATTATTACAGTATATTTAGAAATATCTAAACTGTCAGCTGTATCAATTTTCCTCTCTGAAGAAATAAGAAATGTCACAGATTACTTTTATTGTATTTCCAATGATTTCTGGTGCATACTCATTTCTTACTGGGTCCCAACCAGAGACCTAGGGTCGGAAATGGCATCATGGCATTTTCACAGAGAACCTTTTGAGGAAAAAAACACACAAGACCACACATATTTTAAATAGATAAAGTTCTTCATAACATGTGGTTTGTACTCATGAGAACAATTTTTTTTTATTTCTTTAAGGCATGGGCTGCCAAGAATTCCTTCAATGTGCCTATTGGAATCTTTTCCAATAAATCTGAGGGCTCCAACTACAATTAGAATTGTTGATGTCCTCATGTACCCTATTTTTGAGATTTCGATTTCAAGGTCCTTGTATTTTGATAGTATTTTTGAAGATCTTCAAAGATACATTGCAGTCATCAGGGAGTGCCATATCAATAAGGAGGCACTTTTTTTGTTTGCGGTCCCTAATAATGATGTTGGCTTTGATCGTTCTGTCTGTGTGTATTGTGAAGTCCCAGAAAATAGGTTACAGGTCCTATCTCCGTGACAGGGTCTGGGTGGTGTTCATACCAATTTTTTGCAGTTTCTTTTCCATAAAATTTGCCTGTTCTCCAATGCCCACTCTGTCATGTCGGATTTTATATTCAGTGGGTGCCAATATCGTGCAACCTGATACAAGATGATCAATTGTTTCTGGATATTTATCACAGAATCTACATTTGGATTCAACACAATATTTCCGTATGTGTACTTGGTAATAATTTCTAGTTAGCAAACATTGGTTCTGTGCAGCAAGAATAAAAACATTGGTTTTAACTTTTAACCCAGGTACTACATAACCACTGATGGTTACAGGTTTGTCTACATCAGCTTGTTTGGTATGGGCAGAGTATTAACCATGAAGTGGTTTATCCTGCCATTGTTTCTGTATCTGGTCGATTGCATTTGATTTTATTTCGTTTTTTAAAGTTTTTCCAACTTCAGTGTCTGTTTTGTTATAGATTTAGTATGCTTTTCTTTTAGCAATGCAGATACTTTTTAAATTATTTTCAATATATATTTCTTCATGTAAATATTGGGGGTGCAAATGCTTAAAGAATATTATATAGATTTATCCATATAAAAATATATTAATTATACACAACATACCCATTAATTTTAAGTATCTAATGATTGATTATGTTGAAGCACAAACAGATTATAATGAATACTGATTATGCTGTGAAACTTTTAGAAATGACAGGTCTTTTTCCAGAATCTTTTGAGGGGGGGGGCAGATTTCACTTAGTGAGATCACCATAAGAATTTAAACAATAAAATCAGTTCACATAATTTTTACAGGGTGGGGCATGATTTTGGAGGGAGGACAATCCCCACCCCATTAGCAATAAGCCTAAGTAACACCTGTGGTTTTCAAGTCTTTACTGTGATCTTAAAACATAACCTTACTCTCCCTCTCTCCCCCCTCTCTCTCTCTCTCTCTCCCTCTCTCTCTCTCTCTTTTGCTAAATATATATAATATAATATTTATTCATAATACATATAATATAATATTTATTCAAAAAATTATAACATAAATATGTTATAACATCACTACAAAAATAGGCATTTTGTTTCAATGCTTCTGCCGTCTTGTTAAGTGATGGTGTTGATTGCAAAACCTTGGATTTTCCAATCAACACTATAAATAGTAGTTTGAAATGGATGAGTGGTGAACCTATTTACACCATATATATATATATATATATATATATATATATATATATAAAAATTTCGCTTGAAGATGGAACAGAGCTTATTTTAACTCAATTTAATTTAAATAATTATATTGAAGTTTTCGGCTCTTGTTTTGAAACATGAGACTTCTTATGTAGCGTTTTGGAATCATATTTTTAAATAAATAATTATATTTATGCTCTACTTTTGTATCGAGCACGATTTTTTTAAAAATAATAACTAAAATATTAAGGACTTTGGATTATTTACCTAACCAGTTCCTTCCTATTTTCTATATATTTTCACATAATATATATATATATATATATATATATATAAATATTGGAGGTGACATATGTTTCATGCTAGATGCAATCATCATCCATGTCAGGTGGCCAGACGATTGCGTCTAGCATGAAACAGCCTCTAAGTATTGACTTCAGTTACATTTTTTTATATTTACACATGCTCTATCTCTGATATTGAGCACTTTATCCCATAAATATAGCACACCTTAAGAGTATATTTCTTCATATATATATATATATATATATATATATATATATATATAATTGTAGACACATGCACATGTTTCTTTCTAGTCAAATAAATAAGTAATGAGTATACAAATTCCCTTCCAATCAGGGGATCTAGAATATGTCCCACTCGACTCACATGTATCTGTTTGGAGAACTCTCCAGTGGCAAGTGGCTACATAGAAACCCAAAATGATGCTTCAGGAATCAGTTGAAGACATTCCTGATGCAGGCCAACATTAACCATGAGACCTTGGAAACCACTGCTGAAAATCATCAGCCTTTAGGCTGTTGGGGGTTCCAAGACTTTTAATTCCAATCGTCAGCATGTAGAGGATTTGCGACATTCTGTCAAGGGGTGAAGAGGAATGGAATAAGAAGAAAGGATGACGATCCCAATGCAAGAAGGCACCGACCAATGATACAAATCAGGCATGACTCAAATGCCCTTTTATGTCTCGATGTATTCAGGTGCAAGAAGGCAAAAGGAGGGATAGAATGTATATGAAGAAATTTCCAGATTTCTAGAAGATTTAAAAAGCATTGGAGAGATTTATCCGAGATGACAGATTATTTTTCAGAAGGAAAACAAAAACTGACCCAATCAACAAAGTGAAATTCTAATATAAAAACGAGAAACAACATTCAATCTTTTGCAATGGTGAATGCTTCCGCAGATCAATGTTCAAAGATTCTTTGGATATCACATCAATTTATTCATTTTATGCCTCAGTTCAGGGCAAACTCGGCTGATTGATAAAAACATTTTTGACATGGATGTCATTTTTGCAGATATGAAGTGATATTAAATGAGAAAGACACAGCTTTATTGATGGGCCGCATTTTGATGTCAGGTAAAACAGCCATTTGGAATGTTGATTTTCCCTTAAAGCTTTGGTGCAACACAATCTTACTTTTTCACTCTTGGCAAAAAGATATTCCTAGAAATTGATAGATAAAAAGGCCCTGAGATAAATACAAACATAGATAGATAGATAGATAGATAGATAGATAGATAGATAGATAGATATGAACAGGGTGGGATAGATAGATAGATAGATAGATAGATAGATAGATAGATAGATAGATAGATAGATAGATTTTGGAAAAGAGAAAGACAAAAAAGAAAAAGATCTTAGGAAGGAAGGAAAGTTAATACAAGATTAGCACAAAGAATAACTAAAACAGAGAAAAAAAGAAAGTAAGAAAATGATTAAAAGAAAGAAAGAAAGAAAGAAAGAAAGGGGAATACAACAAAAGAAAGAAAAATCAAGATTATGACAAAGAATAAGTTAAACAGACAAAAGTAAAAGGTTAATGAAAGAGACAGAATAAAGGTTAACATAAAAAAGAATTAATGAAAGAAAAAAGAATGAAAGAAAAAAGAATGAAAGAAAAAAGAATGAAAGGAAAAATGAAAGACTGTGAGAATAGGTTGAGAAAGGAAAAAGATTAGATTAACTCAAAAAAATATTTTTTTCCAATGATATGAACTTTATGTTTTTTTTTTTTGTGAGAAAAAGTCTTTCATTTTGTTGCCTCTTGAATACCTGCCATGAAAACTGTGAAATCTGAAATTTTGTTTAAGCCACCAAAAGAAAAATTTGAAAAAAACAAAGAAAAAAATGAAAATAGAAAAAACGAAAAATAATGAATAAGATTTTTGCAAATATCTTTAGAAAATAAAATTTTTGACGAGTCCTTTCTTTAATTAACAAACCTCAAATTTCATACCAAAAAGCACACAAGCACACACACACATATATATATATATATGTATGTATGTATGTGTGTGTGTGTGTGTGGTATCCTGTTATCTTTATGGTACACTTTATTTTTTCTATAATCGACATATACAAATAGGTAAAGTCCTATTTGCCAATCGCATTACACCTTCCTGAATAGAATAGGTTTAATGCTGTTCATTGTTCTTGAACTTCTTATTCCAATATCTTCCCTCCACTCCCCCTTATTCTATATCTCCTGTTCTTTTTAATGGGGATCTTGGTCTCATCTTATCTTCCATGTTTGAGTCACTCATGCTATCATCTATATGCTTGTTTTCTATTACATTTTACCTGATCTGAAGAACTCATCCTTTCTACTTTGTGAAGATCTTCCTCCATCACTCCAATATATATATATATATATATATATATTATTAGACAACAAAATCCAAAATTACCTCATATGAGGTGTGGGGATAGATGTATTTCACCTGACAAAAACTTATTCAAGCCAGGTGTATAGAATGAGTTTGTGTCAGAATTAGAAATTTAACTTTGACAGCAGTCAAAAAATTGATACAGAATTTATCCATTTCGAAGTTTCAGTCAGACGGAATGCCCGAGAGGGTGGTTAGGGGAGGGTAGAAGGTGTTAGTCTTAAAGGGAAGAGGTTTTATAAAATTAAACCCAGATATTAACCTTATGAAAATAAATTGAGGTTATATGAAGAATGAGATGTTAATTTGAAACTAAAAGAGGACTGAAAAGTGAGTTTTATAAAAAAGATCTTATATATACAAGGTTAAGTTTCTATTTCAAAATATTCCAATGATAAATTATACTTAAAGATAAGCTATATCTAAAAGATTAAAAATAAGTCAGATTTAGATAATTTATATTAAATTTAAGTAGAAATATATTTTAAAAAATTTTATATTAAAGAGTAAAAATATATTCAAAAATAAAATTATAAAAGATAAAATAAATTATACATTTTTAACTTATATTTAAAAAAAACTTAAAACCTCCTAAAAAAACGAAAAAAATAGAGATAAACAGGTGTCAGAGATAAAAGGAAAGAGAGTTCTTTAAACCAAAGAAAATTATAAGATATAATTAATATGGGGAAAAATTGAAAATATAAGAAATTAAGATCAACTTGGATTATATACCAACAGATTTATTTCCTGTACTATATATATATATATATATATATATATATATATATATATATATATATCATAATTATTTTTTTTAAAATATGATTCCTTCACTACATAAGAGTTCTCATGTTTCAAAAACGAGAACCAAAAACTTCAATATTATTATTAAAATTAAATTGAATTAAAGTGTCAAGCTCTGTTTCATCTTCAAATGAATTTAAAAAAAAAATAATTATAATTTAGGCTTTACTTTTGTATTATTTACCTAACCTGTTTTTTTTCCTATTTTCGATATATTTGCACACACACACACACACACACACACACACACACATATATATATATATATATATATATATATATATATATATATATATATATATATATATATATATATATATATATATATGAAGAAATATAGTTTTAAGGTGTGCTATATTTATGGGAGATAAGTGCTCAATATCAGAGATAGAACATATGTAAATATAAACGATGCATTCAGCATGTAACAGTCTGTCACCTCTGAGTGTTGACTTCAATGTTCACTTTATATATATATATATATATATATATATATATATATATTTAATTATTTTTTAAAATTTTGATTCCATTGCTACATAAGAGTTTTCATGTTTCAAAACAGGAGCTAAAACTTACATTTAATTACAAAATATATTTTCACACACACACACACAGATATATATATATATATATATATATATATATATATATATATATATATATATATATATATATATATATATAAAAGTAAAATGTAGTATAATGGATATCAGCATGAAAAGTGTTATCCTGATTCATGTTCAAATTCTGACCTAGCCTCCTGGATTTACTTTTGCAAATATGACCTTGAGGAAGGCATGAATCAATCTCTTCCCGTCAATACTATGGGAGAAATAGCAGTGCAGACTGGGTTCTCTAGCCTTGGATGGTAATCAGTCTAAGAAAAGAAAAGATTTGAATTCCAAACATTGGAGAAGGCAGCGGGAAACTGATTTTTCCAAGAAAGTATCGCAATTGTCAGATAATAAATAAAAGGAACTTGTGGGGAGACATGATCGACTACGTTTTGAAGATAGATGGCATTTAGCAAAAAAGACTAGATCACTTTTTTGCAAAAAGCTACATTAATTCAGGTTGTACCCTTGATCAAAAATAGTGCAAAGAATTATTATTAAATTAAAGTGGAAATTTCCAAATATCCCAAAAATAAACGCCACCTATTTTGGTCAAAATGAATGTTGAATATCAAGGTCATTAGGGATGATAGGAAAAGCTTGAAGACTGTCAGTCCATGTCCCTGATTAAACTCAATTATTCTTCTATCATATAATTCTTTGTATGCACTTGAAAAGGCTCACAAAACTGCCCTAAACCATTGTGCCATTTCAAAGGTAAAGTCATAGATATCTGTAATCAGGGAATCACTCTCAATCACAGACAAAAAGGCAAAGGTTATTTTTTGTGGTCTGGGAACACTCAAATTTTTTATCATACAAAATTTAATGCAACTTGCTTATATATATCATGCCATTTTATCTCATGAGAAGGAACAAATTAGCAGTGAAGAGCATAAGAAACCTGTACATATATATATATATATATATATATATATATATATATATATATATATATATATATATATATATATATGCAAGGATGGATATATATATATATATATATATATGATAAATGTTTTCCATTTTGTCTTATAATTTTTTTAATGTATATATATATATATATACATATATATATATCAAAGTATAAATAAATATTCATGTCAATATTTAGATAGATTTCAGTAATATCATTTATATTTGTTAGCAACTGCCTATAAAATATATATATATATATATATATATATATATATATATATATATATATATATATATATATATATATATATATATATATATATACCATGTATATTATATCTGTTATAGGCAGGTCAAAATCCATGCCTATGTGATTGCATAAATATATATTTATATCAATCATTAACAAATGCACACAATCATACACAGACACAGACACATGCATACATGCACACACACACACACACCACACATATATATATATATATATATATTGAACATATGATATACAGATCAATATATATATATATATATATATAACTAATATTGAGGAAATGAAACACTGTTCTCTCCAAATACTGTCAGAGCATTATGATGATGTGAAGGTGAAAAATAATGAAAGCATTAAGAAAAAAAAAGAAAAATCCAATACTCAGTAATATCAACTATTAACACAGCCACAATATGCTGACCATGTTTGGAAAATAAAATATTCCTATAACTCTAGATCCACACAAAAAACATTCCATAAATTCAGTTAAAAGTAAAATAAAGTTCATCCTTGATAATGGCTAAAAGTATAGCTGAAGTCGGTTGGAAGACATTCGGACAATTTTTATATAATTTATCTCCTGAAAAGAAAAAACACATGAGAAATTATATAAAAAACTGAACCACCACATCTTGTCAGTCATTTTCAATGAAACTTGCATATATATATATATATATATATGTATGTATGTATGTATGTATTTATGTGTACATATATAGCTATATATATGTATATATATATATGTGTGTGTGTGTATGTATTCATGAATGAATACTTGTGTGTGGTTGAAAATTAATAAACAAGAAGTAAAAGAAGGTCAAAAAATTATTTTCTTAATTTCTTTCTTTAATGAATTTTCTCTTCACAATTCTCTTAGACAATTTTTTCCTGTTCAACAAAAAAAGTTTTTTCAAAATTTCTTTTCTTTTCTAGATTCATTTCTTTCTTTTTTATCTGATTAAAAAAAAAAAAAAAAATGATGTCATGTAAGTCACTTTAAAAAAAACATATATTTGCCCTCAATGTTTCTCCTGCAACATTCAAATTTGCTTTTATGAAAAAAATTTCGGAAGTTACTGAGCGCGCGATTGTTATTATTATTATTATTATTATTATTATTATTTTATTTCCTTTGATTTCTGGCATTTACACATTTCTTTCTGGGTCCCAGCTAGAGACCTAAGGTTAGAAATAGCAGCATATTTTCCACTGACCAACTAAAAAGAAAAAAACATATTTTATATAGATAAAGCCCTTCGTAAGGTGTGGGTTGTACTCTTGAGAACAATTTTTTTTATTTCTTTAAGGTATGGACTTCCAGGAGTCCCTTCAATTGGTCTACTGGAATCTTTTCCAACCAATCCTAGGGCTCCAACTACAAAAGCGATTGTTGATGTTCCCATATGCTACATTTTTGAGATTTCTATTTCAAGGTCCTTGTATTTTGAAGATCTTCAAAGAGACATTGCAGTCTGCAGGGACTGCCATATCAATAACGAGGCGCTTTTTTTGTGTGCAATCTCTAATAACAATATCTGGGCGGTTGGCTTTGATTGTTCTGTCTGTGTGTATTGTGTAGTCCCATAAAATTGTAACAGGTCCTATCTTCGTAACCGGGTCTTCCCGTAGAAGTTACAGATTTTCCAGTGCAGATATTGGCCCACTCTGTCATGCCGAGTTTTATATTCAGTGGGTGCCAATATCGTGCAACCTGATACAAGATGATCAATTGTTTCTGGATAATTATCACAGAACCTGCATTTTGGGCTAACACTATATTTTAGTATATGTGCTTGATAATTTCTAGTTGACAAGCATTGGTCCTGTGCAGCAAGGATAAAACCTTCAGTTTCAGCTTTCAACCCTGCACTACATAGCCACTGATGGGTACAGATTTTGTCTATGTCAGCTTGTTTGGTACAGACAGAGTATTGGCCATGAAGCAGTTTATCTTGCCATTGTTTCTCTATCTGGTCGGTTGCATTTGTCTTTGCTTTCTTTTTATTATTATTATTATTATTATTATTATTATTATTATCTTCTTTTGTTTTCTGTTTTATACAATTCTTTACTACATCATTGTCCAAGACATGGAGTAAGAGAGTGTAGTAAATTCTGGTTGTAAAATTCTGACATTAGGTGCTACTTAACATGTACGCTATTTATATTTTCTTTACACTGATAAGACTCCTGACTAAATGGACAATTCCACAGAGTGCAGATTTGAATCACTTGTAAACAGGTGCTGCCAGGTATTTTGTTAATGCTCTTGTCTTGACCCTTCTTCTTCATGCACAGTGTTTCATTTATTATTATTATTTTTATTATTATTATTTAAAACAGGTCCTCTAAAATCTCCAGCACTAAATCTTCATCCAAATGTCTGTCTGTGCCATGGGGTCCCTATTGTCTGAATACTAACTAAAAATTCTTCAATCATTTTATAAGGGATTTAGGGGTCAATTTTTATCATTACATAACTTTTACAGCTTTTATACAATATCTTTTTGGCTTCTTGTTCTTCTCCCCTATTGTCAATCAGAATCGTTACATCCATCATTTAGTGTAATTTTTTTCTTATCATTACATGTGACCTTCAGACTGAGGTTCAGTAATCTGTTTGAGTCCTCAAGTATATCACTTTTCTTATCTGTTAGGGCGATTTTTGCAAATACTTTTTATTTGCATGGCCATATCCAAGTTGCTTGCACAGTTCCTGATGAAATAATATTCCCTCCCAGTCATGCCTGCTTTTAATGTTCAATTCTTTTTGCAGCCATATTTAACAACATAAAAGACAGACTTTTTCCTAAAAATGGCTCAAAAATTACCCTGGCATCTAAGATTTGACAGTGAAGCCTTTCATGGGTCACCAATTCTCAGCCAGAGACATCAAGAGACAAGTTTTTTCTATCAGATGAGGTGCCATACAATGAGAAAAAAATCTGACTGTGGTCACTGCATGGAGAGAAATCTACACAAGAAATCTATTATTGTTACATTTGTATCATACATCAATATGGTTGACAAAAATTCTCTACATAGGGTGAACGAGATTCCTCACAAATCAAGAACCTTTTCTGGAGCTCTACAATCTTTCTCTCAACTCCAATTTTGTCTAAGCACTCTTTCAAATATCTAGGTCAGAGGTCACTGAAACTTGTTTAATATAAGAACCACATATGATAAAGTTGAAATGTTTGAGACCTGCAAGACAAGAACAAAATTTGCGCATACGTTTTTGTTACATACACACGTGACCACTCTCACCCTCCCCCACCCGGCATACCCAAATTTTGAATCCCCTTTTATCAGGATCTCAGTCTTCTGTCATTTCTTTAATCTCTCTACATCTCATTATTCTATCTCTCAGAATGAAAGAACAATTCCTCACACAGAACTAGCATTAAAATTAGGATTTAAATTCTTAAATATTGTTACATACACATTAACATTAAAATTATCTTTTAATCCAATGGAGTCTCAGGTTATACCCAAGAAATAATTATAAAGCTGGAAATTTTTATTTACACTATTTACATTGTTCGGACGATTATCCTCATCTTTATTATGATATTCATGACATTTCGGCTGTTGTACACTCCGGCCTTCTTCAGATAATATATCCTGGATTTCAAACTGAACCTTTTATTTTCTCCACCAGGGTAGATTGTTCTAGTTCCACATGCCATGCCTTTTCTGGATATCTCAGTTTCAGTTGATTCCTTTTAGTAAGTCAACTCACCAAGTCCTCTACAGTGGCCAGGTATTGAACTCACAACTCTTTGTGTCACATCATTGGATGACTTCAACCAACACTTTTATCCACTGAGCCAATGCGGCATTGAAATTTTTCTTATTTACCTTTTATATTAACTGATGAAAATAGGATCTTAGCCAACAGATTTCCATGAGCCACAGCATATTAAAGGTCAAAGATCCAAATATGGCTTGCAAGCTGCGGTTTGGCCACTCCTGGTCTAGCTAATGTTCTAAGCATACTTACTACAGGAATTACTTCAGCAGTCATGTTCTATAGCTTTTTCAACTCTCGAGACGGGTCCTGATTTTTTTCAATCATTTTTTACTTTCTTTGGAGCACACTCTAGTATAATATTGAGCAACAAAGTCAATATTTCGACACTTTCCTCATCTATAACAAGTTTACGGTTTTGTTTTTCAAGGATATGATTGGTCAGAAAAAAGAAATCCTATATCGTATGATTGGTTTTTCTACCACTGAGAAAAAATAGAATTTCTCAAAGAATTCATATAAATTTCTCAAAGAATTCATATAAATTTCTCATAGAATTCATAGAATTTATCTATCACATTGAAACCAGATTTACAGCCTATTTACCAATGCATTCTTTTACCAATTCAATCATGTTGACATTTTTTTAATTGGTTCCACCCCATGCAAGACAACAAAGCCACTAATACGCAAGGGATTACTGGCGTGGAAGAATTAGGAATAGAAGCATTAATAACAAGCAGAAAAAGAAAAAGAGTAATCAGGAGGACAGTAGATAGCAATTAACATTGCATTTAAATTTTTGCTGATTAAAGTTGACTGGAAAGTATAGAGCTGGAAGGGAGTTCCACAAGTAAGGCAGTAAAGCCACTAAGACACAAAGGATTACTCTGTGTAGAAGAATTAGGAACAGAAACATTAATAATGAGCAGGAAGAGAAAAGAGTAATCAGGAGGACAGTAGATAGCGATTGACATTGCATTTAAATTTTTGCTAGTTAAAATTGGCTGGAAAGCATGAATCTGGAAGGGAGCTCCGTAAGCAAGAAATGTGACAAAAAAAAAACTGTTAGCATAGAAGCTACAGTGAAATCAAGCCAATTCAACTGTATATCGATGAGATCTTGATGCCACTCTAGTATTGCACTTAAATTCAAAAACTCTATGAGCCATAGAGAAGAGCTCATCCAAACAATTACCTTGAAAGTATTTATAGAAAAGACACAGAGAGGTGACCTTATGGTGGTGGGAAAGTGACTGAGGCTGAGCCGCCAGATCAGGACTGATAATATTACTGATTCTTCTTTGGATTTTATCAAGAAATGCAAGTTAAACTTGAAATATTTACCAACTATGTTGTTGTCACATCAGCTTGTCCACACATCCTGCATTTGCTTTCTTGTGATCTGTCTATGCCTTGACTGCATTCATTCTGAACGTCTGCTCCATTATCGACAGGATTTTAAAAGGAATTATTATAACATAGTATTTTTAACATTAGTTCATATCACCTCATCCATCATTGTTAAATATGCCTCAACACACACCTGTAATTAACCGAGTGGGAACTACAGAATAAAAAAAAACGTACCTGAAAAGAATATATCAGCAATAGAAAAATACTAATCTGGAAAACATAACATTATTGGCGGCTACAATCTTAAGAACATAAGATATGCAGATGACCCAGTGTTGATAGCAGACATAGAAAGAAAACTACAAAATCTCCTACAGAAGGTAGTAAAGGAAAGGAAGAAGAAAGGACTAATTATCAATTTCAAGAAGACAGAATGCATGGTCATCAACAAAAGGGTGAGCTTAAAATGCAAATTGCAAATCAGAGATACCAAAATCAAACAAGTACATAAATTTAAATATCTGGAAAGTGTTTTAACAGAGGACGGAAAATGCAACATTGAAATCCAAAGGCGCATTGGCCTATCCAAAGATGCATTCGAAAAGCTCAGCAGAGTATTAAGAGACAGAAAAAGTTTGTTACCGTAGTATCATATGCAAATTAAATAGACAAGTATAAATAGAGAACAACTGGTGAACATAAGGTGGCTGTGCCTAGCAAACCTGGTTGCTATTCAGGACACAGAGAACTTTACTATGACTACTACTACACAGAGAAATATGCAAAACATAACAGAAACAAAGAAAAGAGAACTGAATTGTTATATGATATCTGTCTTTCTATAGTGAATGCTGAACAATCTCCTTAAAGATGAGAAACAGACTTGAAGCAAAAGAAATGTTGTTCTACAGAAAGATGCTGAGGATACTATGGACCAACATGTGAGCAATGGTTAGGTTTTAGAGAAAAATTAACAAAAAAGAAACTTATACTTATCAGAAAGAGACCATTGAAATTTCTTAGGGCACATAAAGAAGAAAGAGGGCTTGGAAAATCTGATACTCACAGGACAGATTGAAGTCAGCTTCTTGATTATGTTATTATTTTCTCTTCAAGTTACATGTGCTATCTGTTTTAGTTGCTGCTGCAGTTGGTAGTCCTCAAGGCTTACAGCCACATCAAATGGAAACACCGATTCCCATACAATCACAGATGTTAAGCAATGTCGAGCCTGGTGAGAACTTAGAAGGGTGGCCACTTGGGAATACCAGGTGCTATAAGCTTGGATGTGCAGGTGGTGTAATGGATAATGGCTCAGAATTGTTAATCAGAGAGCAGAGTTCCAATTCCCATTGGGTTTTGTTATATTCACTTACATTCAAATACTCTTGCGAAAAGTACAAATCCACTTCTTCTCCCCCAACTATGGGTTAATTAACTAAATACCATTCTTACAATCTAAAATATTTTCTGGCTTTAACTAAGCTGTAAAGATTTGGTAAGCCATAGAAAACAAATCATTTAATCAGTCGAAATTCCTCAAGCGATGTGGTTTCTGTCATTTGATTCAATGCTTTGTCATTCTGACGAACAAGATTCTTTGAAGGATAGAGTTCGCTAAGACCTACATGCTTCCTTCATTTAAATTCAGTTTCATCTGAGAAAGTGGTTGTATACAACTGACAATTTAGATATTTCTAAAAACGTGTGGCACCATGCATGACATCCATATGAAAGTCTCGATCTGATGAGGCTATTTAAGAAAATGACTCAACTTTTTATATTAATGTTTCATTTTTGTAGTAAGTTGCAGTGTTGAACAAAACTACTTCTAGAAAAATCTACATTCAATTTTCTTATCTCATATACTAGATTTGCTATAATTGTTCTATGCACCAATGTTTTTGAAGTGTTTAGTATTTACTAATTCGATATCCTGAATTTTTATGATGGATTCAGTGTATATGCCACCACGGCTTTCATTCCAGTTTTATAGAGAAATATGTTTTGTCATATGAAGCTGTTAAAAAAGAATGATCAATGAAGGATTGGCTATGTTTTATGTCAAGCTCTATCAAAAACTTGTTTTTATATACAGTAATGTTTTTCTGCTACAGATAAAATGCTTCAATAATGTTTTCTAACTTACTGATAAGCTTACTTTAAACATCATAAATACAAAAAAATCTATCTTTCCTATGTGCTGCTAAAATAGGGGGAAATTATCCATGTGTCTTTTCTGCTATCAAATAATTTTTTTTTCTTTCTTTCTCCATACAAATGATTAGTTCTTATATTCACATCCCCCATTATGAGCAATTCCGTTTCTCTTTTCAGATAACCTTTTCACAACTTTGCATATAGTTTCTTTAAATATTTCTTATCAATCTTGTTAGTGTTGGCTTCCACCTTCTTTTCTCCTGGATGGCTGTCGTCAACGTTTTTGCCTTGTTTTTTCTTTCTGAGCAAATTAACAATAATTTATTCTTTTAAATATTTTCAGTACCTCTAATTTTTTTCCAAATTCAGAATTCATCCAAGTTTGTCAGTAATGATGAGTACAATTTCATTTGGATATTCCATAAGATTTTTTGTTTTAAAGTTTTGACATTTTTTTGTAGTTTTCTTTTCTCTTTACCATCATTCTTTGATTGGCTGGAACAAAGACAACCACAAGGTGACAAATTATCATTTATGACAATAATAATAATTATTATTATTATCATTATTACTGCATATTTCCAAGTATAAGATGGCCTTTAAATCCCTTTAAATTGGTTGGGGGGGTCATCTAATACTACAATTCTAAAAAAGAAAACCTTAAATTCTGAGTGAGGTTTGTAGGCTAACCTCAGCCTTGATATGATAGCCAATAACGAACATGAAAAGATTCACATTCATCAAATATACTGATAAGAAAAGTGATAAAACCATTTCTACCTTATATATTACTGACATAACTTCATAATAAATTGCCTATTTGAAGAATAATTCCATATCAATGAAATCAACCTGTATCCATGCAAGCTCAGCTGAGAAAATATAAACATCGAGTTATGATTGCCTTCACAACAACCTTTATCTTTCGTTAAACTTTCAATAATCATCATTGTAGTGTTAATTATGGCAGGAATAACATTTAAGATAACATAATATTCATTTCTCATTAGAAATTCATTATAATTTTAGTGTTAAACATAATTTAGGATTACATACAACCTTTATTTTTCAAATAAAAATCTTTTATGACAGTTGCATTTAAAACTTTTAGGATATAATAAAACTATGAAGTATAAGTAAATGGCCATTAGTACACCAGGTTGTTTGTAACTGTTTAGATATAGGAAAGAGAAGTAATCAGTATTCACAAGGGATCATTTGATGAATTTTGTAACCTTGTTTCAAATTTTCCTTTTATATGGGGAAAAACATGGCATAGAATCGATTTTGTTATTTTGTTTATTTTGAATCTCTAAGGATACAGTAACAACATTTCCAATAACATCATCTTTATATAATGATAAGCAGTCGTCTTATATTACAGGTATAAGATAAATTCATGAAAATTTGATATATTTTTTTGACCTCATCTTATCTAAAGGTTAGCTTATACATGGAAATATATGGTACTTGCTTAAATACTGTCACTGGCATGTCACAATGCTGGCAAGTTAAGGAGTCTTTACTACCTATTCTTCTCATTTTTTTATTGATTAGCAATATTATACTATTGATGGGTTTATTTATATATATATATATATATATATATATATATATATATATATGTATGTATATGTATATATATATGTGTGTGTGTGTGCGTGTGTGTGTGTGTGTGTATTTTTTAAGTTTATACTTAATTAAAAACAGTTTTATTTAGCTAACAACTATTGTGCTACAGTGTGCTGTTTTTGTTTTTTCATACTAACAGGAAAATATCCCCAATATCATAAACCAAAAACAAAGATTTAACCTTTATGATTAGATTATTATTATTATTATTATTTCCATTAATCTCCTTTTTTTTGTTCCTCCCTTTTCTCTTCTTTCCTTTTCTTTCTTTTCTTTTGTCTTCTTTCCTTTACTTTATTTTCTTTTTCTTTCTTTTCTTTTCTTCTTTCTTTTTTCTTTCTTTCTTCATTCCTTCACTATTTCTTTCTTTTTTCTTTTATTACTCTTCTTTCTACTTTTTCTTCTTTCTGTTCTCTCTTTCTTTCTTCATTTCTTCTTTCTTTATTTCTCCATTCATTCATTCATTATTTCTTTCTTTCTTTGTTCTTTTGTTTTTCCTTCCTTTTCTTTCTTTTCTTTTCTTTCTTTTCTATTTCTTTCGTTCTTCTTTCTTTTTGCCCTCTTCTTTCTTTCTTTCTTCATTCCTTCACTATTTCTTACTTTTCTTCTTTTATTGCTCTTCTTTCTACTTTTTCTTCTTTTTTCTTTTTATTCTTTCATTATTTCTTCCTTCTTTCTTTATCTCTTCATTCATTCATTCATTCATTCATTCGTTTGTTCTTTCTTTATTTTATTGTAATGTGTTCTTTCTTTTCTTCTTCTATTGTTCTTCCTTCCTTCTTTCTTTTGTTGTCCTTTCTTATTTCTTTTTCTTTTTTTCTTCATTTCTTTTCATCTCTCTTTCTTTTTCTTTTTCTTTTCATTTCTTCTAGTTGTTTCTTACTTCTTTCCTTTCTCTAATGTCTTTTTTCTTTACTCCTTTTGATTTCCTTTTTCTTTCTTTCTTTCTTTCTTCTTTTTTTTCTTTCTTTCTTTTGTTAGCCATTCTTATTTCTTCCTCTGTCTTTCTTCATTTCTTTTCATCTTTCTTTTTTCTTCTTTCATTTGTTCTAGTTCTTTCTTCTTTCCTTCCTTCTTACCACTTTTTCTTTTTCTTTATCCCTTTTTCTTTCTTTCTTTCTTCTTTTCTTTCTTTCTTTCTTTTGTTACCCTTTCTTTATTTCTTCCTTTTTTTTCTTTCATTTCTTTTCATCTTTTTTTCTTCTTCTTTCATTTGTTCTTTGTTTTTTTTTCTTTCTTTCTTTTTTTTTTTTTTTTCTTTTCTTCTTTTTTCTTTTTTTTACAATTCCCATCCTTTTCTTTTCTTTAAAAAAAACAAAAACACTCCTCCTTCTTTTCATTTTTCTTTTGATTCTAATTATTGATCTTCAACTTTATTATCATCTTCCAAAAGCCCAGAAATCATTTTTCTTTGCTTTTCAAGATTTTTATAGGATTCCTGCAAAAATACTTAACTATTTTTACAGATTCCTCCAAACCTTCCTACCTTTACATTTATTGAAATACCATATTTTTATTTTCTTTTTCATATTTGATTTAATTAATTTATTTCATTTCTGCCTGCTTTTAATAAAATTTTTAGCAAACAATTTCTTTTTTATATATAGATATAGATATATATATAAATTTTTATATCTACTCTAGTTTATTAAAAATATTAAAGAATAAAGCATTTAAAATTTTTATATACACACACACACACACACACATGCCTTTATATATATATATATATATATATATATATATATATATTATGAAATGCATTAAGTCTGACAAATATTTTCATATATTTTTCTGTTTAACTGTTATATTTATAGATAAAAATATTTAAGTAAATGTTCTGTTTACAATAAACAATATTGACTACATTTACTGGCCTGAATATCGGAGAAATCATAGGCCAAGTGACGGTTCCATGTACAATACAGGTTCGATTCCTGTTGGCAGACACATATTTTGTATGAAGTTTCATGGATATTCAGGCTGGTAAATGTAGTTTATTATAAACAGAACATTTATTTAAAAACGTTAATTCAAAATTGCGTAACACTCAGTTCATTCTCAGGACATGAAGATATGAAACTGTCTGTGTGTGTTTATATATATATATATATATATATATATATATATATATTTAAAAGAAAATCAGACCACTTTAAGGTACCATTATAATAATTTATTTCACCAGAGTCCTTTTAAAGGATGCTGGATCATCAGATAACACTTTTAAAAAAATGAAAATGAAATGAAAAATGAAAGTAAAAGGACTCTGGTGAAATAAATTATTATGATGGTAGATCTTAAAGTGGTCTGTTTTTTTTTTTAAAATTAGCTCTGGATTTACATTGACCTCTCAGGATTTCATCCTCCTTGGGATTACCCATATGGATTATCAAGTTCTTCATAACTTAACTATATATATATATATATATATATATATATATATATATATATCAGAGATAATTTGAATTCCAGTCGAGTATTCCAGAAACTGCAGCATATACAACTGACCACTTTCAACAATTTTATTACGGCTTATTCAGTCGGTTTCTGACAGGAAGATACATGAGCCATCCTGATAGATAAATATATATGATAAAAACAAGATAGATAGATAGATAGATAGATATAGATAGATATGAATTTAGACTAAAAATAGATCCTACAGCTATATTATCTATCTATCTATCTATCATATATATATATATATATATATATATATATATATATATATATATATGTATATATCTGTTATATCTGTTATATCTACCTTGTTTATCTAGATATTAAACCGGATATTAAGTAAGAATATTTTTTTAAAATATTAAAGAATAAATGGTCAAATATGGACTCAGTAAAATAAAGAAGTGCTCAACTTCTATAGGTATGCATGTTTCTTTCGAGTCCATTTTGTTTGAGTGGTTAAGGATTAATTAGGTACATATTTCCGCAAGTGAACAACAAGGCCTGCTTTACTGTGTGTGTGACAAAAACACAGTGGCAGGCAAAAGGCTATCACTGAGAGGAGCAGCATGCTGCCAACTTTCTTTAATATTTGCAGGTAATTGATCCCAATTTGGGGACAAATCAACCTTGCCCTAACCTTTGTATAGATGAGAAGCAGAACAGGCGCCCAGCTCCTTCACCTTGATACTCTGTTTTCCCAGGAAAATAGCGAGATAGAGAGATCAATAACTAATAAAAATTATTTATTCAAAATGAAATGGCAAAATGCTTAAATTTTCACACATTTCTTTCACCTTGAAATATTAAAAAGATTAAATTTAGATTCCAGACCCCAGGAGTTTGCTGTATTATATAAAAAATTTTCTATTACTTTAGCTAAATAAAAAACACTAACTGAAAAATATATGTGACTCCACCCCATGGTAATAGCTAGCCAGCTAGTTAAATATTAGAACTTTATAGTTAGTTTGATCCTCACTGGGAGCTCCATAACTGTGACCATGTGCCAAACTATAACATAGTAATGAAATGATAAAAAAAAAAACATAAAATTATATCACAGAAAATTGGAATATGTCTTCTAAAAAATAAAATATTAATGAGGACTCAAGCTGGCAAAATTCTCCTGTAGAAATTGGTGCTAAACAATCTTACTCTACATTTGCTGACTAGTAGAATTGCTTATATGCAAAACTGGCAATCTAAGAGAATTTCTTTTTTGAGTAATGGATAGCGGCTAGGATTGAGGAATCAGAGAGCTGAGTTCAAATTCCAGTCAAATCCATTACATTCACTTAAGTGCTACCAAGAAAAATTTGATAATTAGTGTCATCAGTTTGTGAAGTGCATTTGACTGAGATTTGTCCAGTACCCCATTCTATATTTTGGCAGCAAACCTTCTTTTATACATGTTTCATTGAATGTAACTGACAAGAAATATCCTATAAAATTTTTAAGCTCTTCTTATTTTTTACAGTTTTCATTTTTGGAGTGCTACGATTTTCCCCATTGTTTTTCGCTAATTCATTTGACACTTTCAAGGGATTCATTGTTAATATGTTCTCAATATTTGTATATGTGGAAGTAGTAATAATTCTAATGTCTTTTTGATTTCATGTTAAGGTGTTTTTAAAAGATAACCCACTCATCACTCCCATTGTTAAATAGGGCAAGTTTCAGACTTGGCTTGAATTGTTTTATATAAAAAGCTTCAATTAACTTAAATAGTCTTTTACAATTAGATTTCTTTTAAACTGTAGTATATATATATATATATATATATATATATATATATATATATACAAGTACAACTGCCAATCTACGGGTTAAGACTCATTTATAAAAAATAATTTTTAATTTTTTTTTTTTCTTCATTTAGTTTAAATTTAACATAGGTCATATTTGATTGCTTGATCAGAGTAGAAGCCCACAAAACTTAAAAACAATTTTTTTTTTTTTGCATAAAAAGAGGTTGTATTTTGTTTATAAATGTAAATAAATTGTTCATTCACCAGTGATTCTAACATGTTTTTGGTGTAATATCCTTGAATAAATATCAATATATATATATATATATATATATATATATATATATATATATATATATATGACTGGCTTCATACTTCATCTTCAGAAATGGTTTTTGAGTTCAAGAAAGGGAAGCAGGTTCTATTCCTTTCTGAGGCAGATTTTTCTTTCGTAAGACTTCTCAATTTTCAACAGTCATTAAAAATTTCACAAATTTTTAAAAAATAAAAAACTAAACAGAGCTGGTAA